TTCAGACGTGTGCTCTTCCGATCTATGATAGATGATTCTTAGTATCGTCTCACAGTATTAATTGTGTGTGTGAGATACATGTTTATTTTTAAAATTACAAATTTTATTATAATTCTTTAATTTAAATATAAATTTTTTATTTTTAATATTATCCCAGCAAACACAGATTATAACTGCATAGACGGACATTTGTGCATATACTGACTATTATATATCTGAGACCATTTTAAGATATCTTGTAGTTATTATATCTCAAAATGATGTTTGGAAGATATCTCTTGAATGAAGGGTGCTGTATGGAAAATATCAGCTAATATAATTATTTAAACAGGCTGCAAAGATTTCGATGCCATAATGGACAATGTATAACTGGCAAATTACTATGCGACGGCAGAGCAGATTGCAGGGATTCATCTGACGAGACAGTGGCCGAATGCAAAGAGATTCTGTGTCCTGACTATGCTTTTCGCTGCAATTATGGTGGTTGCATAAACGGAGACTACGTGTGTAATGGCATTCAGGACTGCGTTGATAACAGTGATGAAACGCAGCTCCTGTGCACAAGCATTATAACAAACATTCATAAAGTAAGATCTATACGTAAATGTGAGGCGAATCAGTTTAAGTGCGACAATGGCCAGTGTATTTCATGGAGGTAAGAAATAACAGAAGGGAGCATATTCCCTCGCAGTCTGGATAAGCAGACGTAAGGGAGGAACAATGCAAAACGCCATATTACTGTGGCCAACCAATCACATTTGGCGTAGTAATCCCCACCAACAAAAGACCTTACACTCCCTCCTGTTATTTCTTACCTCCATGGTGCATTTACATTAAGCATTGATGTTTGTGATGGAACTCAAAATTGTGTTGATGGATCGGATGAGGATTCGAGACTATGCCGTATATTCATAAGGCCACGATATTTTCAGCCAGTACACATGTACACATTACGGCTACCTGGTCGAGCAAATAATTCACTTTTAAATTTATATAACTATACATGCACAGCACCTCCGCAACCGCCGAACGGTCATAGGACCTTACATCCGTCGCCATGCTCAGGTGAAAAGAAATGTAACGTTTCTGACGGAACGCCACTGAGAACTGAAACACGTCTCGTCTTTTCTTGTAACTCAGGATATAAAATAAAAGGTCGAGACACATTCAAGTGCACAGAGAATGGATGGGATGTCCACATACTCGAGAGATTTATACCAGAATGCGAAAGTATTAAAACAATTACATGTTCTTAAAATAATTTAATTATTTCAAGAAAAAAATATAAAAGAAAAGAATTATGTATTTCTAGATACCAAATATTTTAATTGAAGCGATCAAAATCATAATTATATGTTAATCTAACTGTTTGTTTCATAGAAATAAACTGCCAAGTTTTGATCACTGCAGTCTCTGCAATCGAAGCCAGATGTACGTACGATGACAAATGGATATCGTGCGAAACCAGCAAAACTTTTGTTCCAGGAACAAAAGCAATATTGGATTGTCGAAACGGTTATCACCCTGAAACTAATCCACTGTCCGCACAAGGAAACACTGTGACATGTAATGCGAATGGTGAATGGAAACCAAAACCTATGCGATGCGTTTTAGGTCTGTTCACGATAAATATTTATATTAATGACTAAACTTACGCAATTTGACAAAAACAATCGAACTGATGAGCCTTGGACATGTTCTTAGAATCAAGGCATACAATAAAATTTAATCTTTAAATTAGAATTTAACATTTAACCACCACGTCCAAAAAAATTACAATGTTGGTCTGACAAATTGCTATTAAGCTCCCACTAATTTTATAAGTTAATTATAAAAAAAAAGTATGTTTTTTAAATATTTATTGATTGGAAAAAGGAAAAATGTTTTAATGTGAATTAACCAAAAAATTTCATATACAAAAAAAATAAAATATATTTAAATGGTGACAAATATAAGTATTTTACTAATTGTTTACTTAAATTTAAAGTTGAATAAAAAATATTATAAATTTATTATAATTTAAGGTAATTTAATATAATTTAAAAGTATAAATTTAATAAATGTCTTAAAATTGAATAGTTGATTAGCAAAAACAAAAGTGTAAAATATTATTAATGTTATTACTGTTATTATAGTTATTTATTAAATAATCTCTCTTATATTACGCAACTATATTTAAAGAAACTGTCTAAACTTTTAAAAACATTGTTGGCATACCTGCAGTTGAACAGTGCATATCTTTGGCCAACACTAAACAAATAGATGTCTCCAATTTTGCGCATTTATATGCAATTTTACGTTTTAATTTATAATGACATAATGTGCATGTTACAAAAATTATAATGGCATAAAAAGCCATTTTAGTCTTTTTAGCCTCAAAATATAACAGCACACCAGTAAATAAGAATTAATATGTGTAAATAAGACGTATATTAAAAAATACATACATTCTCAATACTGTGAAAAAGTAACGCAAACTATATAACACTAGTCTGTGAGATCATTACAATTTTTCAAACATTTTATATTTTACACGTTTCCAGCGAATGACAATCAGACAATCAGAGTACCATAGCGTTTCGTAGGGACAGATGGCATATGTATGAAGGTACTATAAGTTTAGAGTGTCTCTTGTGAATGTTAAGAAAATTGTTGACAAGTAAAGCTTCAATAGCGGTCTGTAAGATTGATATAGTGATTTAAAGGATAAACAGTAAAACTTGAATAATATTTTTACAGCTTGCGAACAATAATTATATAAGTGATACCTAACATATGATTATCTCCTTTTTTGAGATAATTTACCTGTTACATTCTTTATATATTTAAATTTCTATTTAAATTATAATTTGAAATTATATTTTGCTAAATTAAAGTTAGTTTACATTTAAATTATGATTTGAAATTATCTTCTAATGAATTAAAGTTTTATTGAATGTATATCTGTAGAGATGCTGCGTATATACATATATTTATATATACTATTATGTGGGGACACACACATTCACAAGTAAATACACATATAAATATCTATCAATTATACTTTTACGTGATTTCGACATGTCTCAATTTTTTTTCCACCTCATTAAAAGAAATATCAAAATTATTAGAATGACGTGGAGTTATGATAATTACGAATTATTTCCTTCTTTTGTATATGTCTAATTACGAATGTCTATACTCTCTTGTATTTATATTATACAAAGATTTTCTAATCGAAATGTTTGTTTTATTATAGCATGCGGCATTCTACCTCCTGATATTAAACCGAACATTGTAGGCGGTATACGACCAACTATTACAGAATTTCCGTGGCATGCTTCGTTGTATCGCGATGAATCAGACAAGACAAAGAAGTACTTTTGTGGAGCGACTATTATTCAAGAGAGATTCCTAATAACGGCAGCTCATTGTGTATTTGATGAGAATACTGGGCAACTGAATGACGCCAGTAAAATTTATGTACTAGTGGGAAATCTCTTTCGTGATTACGATTATCCCTATCACAATCGAATCCTCGTTAAATACAATCAGGTTTGCAAATTTATATATGTAAAAGAAATACAATATAAACTAATCTGGATGAAATATTGTCGACCATAAACGTATATAGATGCCTTATTGCAGGTGAAACATATTTACATTGCACGCAATTATTTGGGAATTGTTGGAAATTACCTTTGGGATATTGCGATATTAGAACTCGTCAGACCGTTTGTATGGTCAACATGGTTGATTCCAGTATGTATAGATACTGTAAGTGATAAAAGTGCAGCGGAAGTAGGTTCTTACGGAAAGGTAGCGGGATTTGGTAGAACTGCATACGGTGAAACTAGCGCAATGTTACAAGCTTTGACAGTGCCTATAATTCCGTTAATCCAATGCATATCCGCGAGTCAAGATGCTAATACGCGACAATTTATCACCAATGATAAGTTTTGCGCAGGTTACAGAAATGGTTAGTAAAAGATAAATTGTGTGACAATAAGCACGATGTGTTTCATTCTATATTTATTAGAAAGATATTTGTAAAACATGTAAAATTATTTAAATTTGTAGGAATTATGTAAGAAAAGATAAAAGGAAGCGAAATGTAAAAATAATAAATATATAAATAGATAAATATAAGAATGATTATTCTGGTGGAAAGTTGTGAAAAATAAAAGATAATATAATTATTTACATAAGCATTGTATGTTTCAGGTTCTTCTGTTTGTGACGGTGACAGTGGTGGTGGGTTAGTCGTTGAGACCAATAATACCTGGTATCTCAGAGGTATTGTTAGTGTTTCCCTCGGCACGATACAAGTCGGTGGGATTGCTCATTGCGACAGCAACTTGTATACTTTATATACAGAAGTATCCAGGCATATTCCATGGATACAACGAGTCATTTCAAAGGTTGAACAAGATCAGAGACATGAGTTATGCTCAAATGAGTCTTATACGAGATGTTTCTAAATTTATTGATATCATCGATTGTTATAAGTAATTGAGCACTGTAAAAATGCATTTATTTTGTATTGTATACGTCTAGACTATCGATAAATTATTTATTGTAAAAGTGTATACGTTAATTATGAAAAATTATTATGAATCAATTAATAATTTTTTTTTACATTTATTTTTATGTATTCTTTTATGCTTTGTACCATAACGGCAAAGATGAAATACACAAAATACACAAATGTGTTTTTATATCTCTAATGCGTAAAGTGTGTGAGGCTCTTATAAAAATATATGTATAAACACGTAATAAATTTCTTGTACGATTATTACTGCAGTCGTATGAAATTTATTTGACAGAATTATTTTCACGTTTGTATTGCCAATATGAATTATGGGGAATATCTCAGATATCTTACAAACTCAATCTATACTGTGTATAGTTTCAATTATATATTTGGCCATTTTTTTGATAGAGTAAAAATGCAGGGATAAGTATTTTATTCATAAAGGAAAATATT